GTCTTGCACAGATTTGCACCTTGTTATCTTTATCGTATCCCCTTAAAAACCTCCACATTTCAATGAATATCTTGTCACGGATAAATATTATCTAGAGTCATTACAAACCAGACATCACTTGACAACTATGTCGTCGGGTTAACATATCCACAAACATGATGAAGATTGTATCCTGAGTTCTCAGGTCACACGTTTAGCTCGTCGATGATTCAATCACTAGACTTCAGTCCAGCGATGTGTGGATTTTAACTTCTGCCAATTTCGCTATTTAACGCTGATTTCGGTTCGTGACGTAATTCAAAATGAAATTAACACAGATCATCAAAAACTCAAAGAATTAACTGGTAATGTTTATTAGAGCTTATTGGTTTTAACACTCAATGTTTGAATTTAAAGAATGACACTACTTCACAAACAGTGGACATTGATATAAAAATAGAGCAGCAACAACGAAGATACTCAGTTATGTATTTATGTAACGATTTGAAAACAATGGTATTAATGCTGATTTCAATAATATCATCATTGTGTGTTCCATATAAGAATGTAAACTGAGTTATTTCTGTCTTCTAGAATTTCTTTTTGACCGACTTTTCCAAAAACACAAATTATCATTACTTTTAATTGAATAACACTCAGCATGCTACTTATATGTTTTTGAAAGTAGTATGAGTTGTAACATCGAAATGAAATCAATCTTGATTCACTCCTGAAGTTGCGTATGGAGTAATCAGTCAGTCTGTGTATTACAGACATGAAATATCCCTATTGTATGCTTCCTTCTCTGTTTCTGCGTACATCAAGCAATTAATCAGTCGATATGATACAGAAATAAGACATCCATATTGTATTTTATATGTCCAAACCAAGTTCAACTTTAACAGTTTGAAAAAATTTGGGCATTGAGTAGTATTGTGGAATTATTATAAAGTCATTTGTATTTCCCAATGAAGGAAAAACAAAACGATATATTTGTGTTCACTGACGTTTCGCTATTTAATGCTGCTACTAATAGCTTTATCAAAGTAGTATTATTATACCGGAATTTACAAAATGCCAGCTTAAATATAACAAACTTAATCATCGTTCATAGGCGTGAGGTCACTTTTATGTCGTCAAGTTGGCCAATTGGTAAAGATAAAAAAATCAGGTGTAGATTGTTGGATTTGATAAGTGTGTAAAATTATAAAAGCAGCGTGTATTTACATAATGAAATTGCTTATCATATTCGTGTTGACTTGGTCATTTCATGGCGGAGGGAGGTGTTGTTACTAGGTGAAATTCTGTCTTAGTCCATCAATCCTATTCAGACAACTTGGATTTCATTCGATGAAATGAGGTGCTTCTGACGATGTGACACTTTCTTTGTGATTTCTCAAATTTTTCTAGATTATTTCAATATTGTCGAAATCACTTTCGTGGCATGATTCTATCGCCTGTAGACCCATGGCTGATGCATTTTCAATCCAGTTCAATTGGATTTCTCTGTGGTCGACCAGATGCTCTACGGTGTTCTGACCTTGGTTTCTCTCTAGGGATGTTTGTTCGATGTCTATTGCATCACATTCCAAGCATTTTATTTCATAGAAACAATCATATAGAGAATCGCTAGGGATTCAGTGTTTCACATGGATAAGATCGCTTTGTAGACTGCATGTCTGATGTCTTGAAGAAAATTCGGATGTTTTGCTGAGTGAATACTCCTATGATTTCTTGTGACATCTCTGATCTATATGGAATGACAACTTTTGAGGTCAGTGTCTTCGGAATACGTTTAGACTATATTTAATGTCATTGTTGGTTTTGTTGATGAAGTTCTTCGAGTAGTTATTTTGCTTGACATTCGCGGTCATCGTTGATATTTCTTCTTCTTTTTCTTTCTCATCTGTTATCAGAGAGTGTGCTCATCTTATCAAATTACACAAGAACAGGGACTCTCAATGGTCTATCATGGTCCTAGAATACTAAAAGAAGTTTTTGGAAGAAACATGTCCCACGATAAGGTCAACATCCTCTGTTTTCTCACTGATAGTTAACATTTTGACTCCCTGACTCATTCTTCATCAGTCACCCTTATTTCACTGATCTTTACCTACCCCGTTCTGCGTAGTATTTTTCAAAATCTTTCATTGTTTTAAAAATACGTGAAATTCAATACCTGATGATCATCCTCTAGAGTAGCCTTTCATACCTTCAACTTACATCCTGCGTATCCTATTTCATTTGCCAGGTTGTTAGATTGCATCAGCAACCTAAACCACTCGGAAAGATCACTGAGAATCGGAAAGAAATGGGCATCGGTTTCATCCAACAACTGTTTATCACTGAACGCACACAACACCACCAGGGTTCTAGCCTGGGATCTTAAGGTTAAGAACCAAGATTGTTTACCATTCTGTCACTCGGGCCGGAATTTGATCATCCGTAATTCCTAACTTAAGTCAGTGCTATCCTCAGTCTAACGGTCTCCACCGAACCTACTTTCTTAATAACAATCTCTAGCTCATCTCTAGCTGATGTATGGATGCTGTGAAGCTGTGTACTGAAAAGTCGTCACCAGTTTGATCCAACACGTCTAGGTGATGTAGATGCCTATTGAGGGCATTTGTCGGAATTCAGGGATCACTGAATTCCAGATCAAGTGGATGAATGACTCAAGAATCTGATCGAGTAACAGGACAGCTCCAGGTTCAATCCCTGGTAGAGTCATTGATATGTACTGAAAAAGTCTTAAAATAGGACGAAACACGGAGTACTCCTTTGCTTCCAATGATCTCTCTAACTGATGTGCAGTTTGGTGACGCAACTTAACAAGTGAAATTAATCCATACCTCTACATGTTTCATAATCTAATCATCCCCTTTCTTTGCAGTATTCAGCTCAAAGGTTAAAAAGTTTATGGACTGACAAGTCGTTCAATTTATCCAATCCTGTTTCCGACGGAATAACTGCATTTTACTCCTTATTTCTTGAGTTTAACATAGGGTTTCAGGATTAGAAATCGCACCATCATTAGTGATAATTTTAAGGGCTGAGGTGACTAGCTTAACACTTAACTTTGCTCCTTTTCCACGCTTCCCACCAGCTGATAAACTATACGAAGTTTTGGAGTGCGTCTTCTTGGAAACGAACTCAAAACTCCTGTGTAGTTGGCAAGCGTTGAACTGTTGAACCACTGATGTACAGCCAGGCCACTTCATTTCTACACAATAATATGATGGCGTAATCGACCAGTTACGTGTAACCTATTCGCGTGACGCATTTTGAACATCCTGAGATTCACATACATGTTTTCCGTATGTTTTCACTGACTGCTTCTGGTCAATCATTGATTTGTACCACAATACTGTTTCACTTTTGACTATGGCAACTTATCGTATCTTGAAATTATTTGACTTTTTTATGTATACAGACAGAAATAGTAGGTGTTGGAAATGTCTGTCTGCTCAAGATGTCCACAGATGGATAGGGTTTAAGTTGCCTACTTATATTTACTTATGTTTAAACTTTCGATTAACCTTATTTTTCATTACACCAGCGCCGAAGGGAAGAGTGGCAACGCAAAAGAGATTTTCATTCTTCTGAAATCAGTTTGCGTATCTGCAACACTCAGCTTAAGGGACGAGATTCAGATTTTCAGCTATGTCGCCAAGCCATGCAATGCTTTGTAATGCTTCAAAGATTTATCATAGCACCGAAAAAACTGCCAACAACCAACTGCGGGCTCTTTTATCAGCAGCTGTCAAACCTTCCTGATGTAGATCACATGATTGGCGAGGAAGGTTTAGCAACGAGAAACTATCGTAACGAAGCAACCAAGAACCTATTACCAAACAAATATGTATTTACCAGTTTGAATGTACATGTGGACACACATACATAAGGAGGACTCATCGATCTCGGCAAGTAAGGGCGTTAGAGCATATTCCTAAATAGCTCCAAAAACAAATGGAATCTTCAGAGCCCATTAATGGTGGGAACAGGAGACCTAGTTCTTCTATTGCGAAACATTTTGTAGAGACAGGACATAAATTTGACGTTAACAGATCTTTTAAACCTATCTATAAAACGTGTTTGGGGCGTATCCTAAAGTTTGTAGAAGCCCTAGCAATTAGAAAGTTCAAGCCACCTTTATTCGTTCAAAGCAACAATTCGTCATCACATTAAACCTTTGTTTCGATACCATAGTAGATGTACTATTACCTCTGTTTTTTGGTTTAATGATCTTCATTGTTATTTTGACCTTCAATATGTCCTTTTAATCTGACCGAACTCTTTTTTCTCACCTCTTAACTCTACTAATTTCCTATGACAAGCCATGTGTGATCAGATTGTTCGAAATGTGATGCGTGAATACTCAATACACGATTCAGATAAATTACGTCTTCTTATTGGTTTGTCTAAATGCATAAAGGGAACTAATTCTTTCCAATATGTTGAAGTAAGAGGAAAGGGGTAGATCAAACACTGAAGTGATTGTTGTATGACACCGGGTGTCAAGCCCTGATTTTGGAAGAGAACAGGTAACGATGGGTTGGGCATGGCTCTGACGATGGAAAGTAGGAGATCATGAGAGGAGGAAATGAAAGTTTATGGGCAAACCTGTGGCCAGTTAAAACAGAATTACAGAGACTAGAGATATGTTATTGAAACCCTGTATTTAGTAATAATATATACACAGATTTCATATTTATATGCTATCATACTAAAAGTTTCAATCACTTTTAAATTGTATGTACACTTGAATAGATTCCTCTAAATGCTCATTTTTCACAACACTGACAAGTAAGTGTCATTTACTCTGTTTTCTTGTACAGACTCATTTACGGATAAATGAATTTTGATTGTCATCCCTGTGACAGTAAGGCATGTTTAACTGATGTGTATAACCCTGTGATGAAAAATAATAGCTATTTTGGCGAATGCACATTAATCAAATTTATATATATATATATATATATATACTTTTGCTCATTAACGTAGCTAAAACTCACTCAATAATGATTGCCTTTTCGCTTGGTGCTGTCTTACTTCTCCTCTTCTCACATCATGTCTCTGTGTCGAAAGGTAAAACCTAGGACATGACAAATTTGAAGGTTTTCGAAGTTTACACTTCGAAAGATTTATTAATTTTAAGGAATTTATGAATTACTTTATTTATTATTATTTGTAAACCAGTAAAGAGTTACAAAATTGAATCTGAACTCCTGTTTTATTGTTTCAATTTAACAGCAGACCAAAATGTTGAAGATAGAAGGTTAACGTAAGTTACCGAAGTATTTGATTTTTAATTTCTGTATTATTTCAACATTTTCCATCTTGAGAACGCATACTTTCAGTTAACGGTTTTTGATGTTGCTTCGGATCTTTCTATGATGATTATTATCATCAATTATTCATTGCCTTCTGTGGGATAAATACGGTTTCTAGGGCTTATGTTGATGCCAACTGGTTCTCTGCTAGCTTCGTGACTATCTGAAGCCTTAGAATCCTTCTCACATCATTTGCTGTGTGTCACCCTTCAGGACCAAACTTGCCTCTTCTTAGTCAAACTTCAAACTAGCATTTGTTGTTTAATATTGCTTGAGGGTCTACTCGGCGTATACAGTTGCATTCCGAAATCTCTGTGAGTCTGCTGGAAAGCATCTTTCAAATGTAATTTCAGTGTGAAGCAGTGAGCCTTGCGAATTCTCTTCGTCAATGGAATATTCCTCCCTCCTTCCTGAGAACTTTTATTCTGAGTGATTATTCTCTGTTACATTTCCTATATAGTTTTATCGCCTTGTTTAGTCTTGACCTGATTTGTTCCTGAAATCGTTGAAGATATCTATCAAGACATTAGCTTGAAAACAACAAACAAACTCAGGGAAGATGTCTTTCCCACGATTCAATCCTCGAAATTTGTACAATTGCATTTTTATACATAAGTCTATACCGTTACAATCACTTACTAATTCAACATAATGACGAAGGAAGATTTTCAGCTTGACATAAACAAAGATTACAAGGAGCTTATAAACAAAGTTACATAGGTCAGTATACTCATTTTTTCAGCTTCGTGTCTTTGAAATACAAACGCAATCTAATAAAATGCTTGGTCCAAAGAGGAAGAACGATCTGCTCTCTGGAATATTTTGATGAGGCGTTTAATATTATTGAACAGTTGCTGAGTAAGAATGGCTGCCCAGAAAAATGAGAAAAAAATGAATTAGGAGACAAGGCAGTCTATAGGACCAGTAGTTTCAAAAATACCCTCGGTGATAATAACAGTGTTCAATTAACACAACGCCTAAAGAATGCGATAAAAAAGAGCATTCAATACTTCTGAAGTATGTTGCATCTTCAAAACCACCCCTAGATTGGCTTTAAAGAGTTAAAGGTGTACCTACCAGTCTGACTTCTACTGTAAAGTGGTCGCATAGGCCGTTCAATTAGGCGTGTTCATCCCAGGATTTCCGGATATCACTCTGTGTAGTTAAGTAAAAAACAAATAAAATCCATTTGTAGCGCCATTCCACTGCATCTTGTGGATACAGAACACAACGAGCTGGCTATCAAAGTCATCTGTCATATACCAACCTATCTGAATTTTACCTCAAGAGTTCATCTAATACACATTTTTGAGGCTGTTAGAATCTACAATAAGGAGCCCAACACATTTACCCAAAAGAAGATGTTGGTTCAGACTCTTTCCTTACCTTAGCCGTCGATCAAGGTTTCAATGGTCCTCAGTTTGTTGTTAAGATTTCTTTAATTTTATTTGATATTTATTGTATTTTAAATCACATTTTTTTGCTCATGTATCTTTCATGAACTGCAATTCCACTGATCTTACTTAAGAAATGGATTATTATTATTACATCCTTTAGTTCCTAGAGGAACATAGGGCTTCAGCCACGCGTCTCCGTTGCCTTCGGTATTCTGCCAACATTTTCACCCCCTTCCAGCTATGCCCACACGCCTTCATCTCCTCTTCACATCACCTCCTTCAAGTCACCCTTGCACTGACGACCAACTCGCCACTTCCCTTTTGGGTTACACTCAAGAAATGGCTTGTCTAGTGATGTCACTTGATGGTTTCCTCAGCGTATGGCCAATTCATCTTCATTTCTTCCTGCCTGGTTGGTTGTCTTCCAGAGATCCCTGTTGCTGATCTTTTCTGGCCTGCCATCTGATCTTGAGTAGTATTGAGCGAAGACAGCTACCTGTTGATGAAGGTCTGTAATTTGTTTGAGATGCAAATTTCTTGATAAGAAATGGATAGTATTTAAATATACAAATATTGTTAATGAGGATTATTCTAGAATATTCTGTGGAGCCAGAAGAGGAAATTATCGAAAAGAATATTCTTCAATCAGTTCTTTTTTTTTCTTTCTAAATGTCTGAATGAATATTTTCGTCAGATTAGAAAATTGCTGCGTAATATGTAGGATAGCTTCTTAGCGAAGACAGTTGAGAGCGGGATGTGGTGCTCTGTACTACAGCAACCCTTGCTGTATGAACCGTGCATATCCAAAAGAAACTAGTTAAACCCTAACATTTACCATGGATCTAGTTCATTCTGACTCCTTAGTCTGCGTGCTTTTGTCTTACTATTCCTCGCATTTTGTTTTTCACTTCACTTATAAAATCTATGGTTTCCATTTGTTCCCATGCTCATCTCATTCACATCTGTATTCGTTTTTCTAATCTTGCGTTATTTTAATTCTAAGCCCCTTGTGATCTGTGTACACCCCTTCAAACTTCCATATTGTTGTTAATCACCTTCGTGATCATGTAGAATTAAATATTAGTAATTGTCTAAATCGTGTAATTTCGGTGTAAGCTCTTCGAACATGAGGAAAATGCTGTCACATCCCAATGTATTTACCTATTTGAATGTACTTGCGCACACATATACACAGAAAGGAGGACTCACCGATCTGTGCAAGTAAGGCCTGGCTTCAGAGCATATTCCTAAATGGCTCCAGAAACAAATAGAATTACCAGAACCCATTATTGGTGAAAACAGGAGACCTAGCTGCTCTATTCCGTAACATATACAGTCAGGAAAAAAATTAATATTCAAGTATTGGTTTATAGGGATTTGGTTGATTGGTTACAGGATTTCATCATGAGCTGGCATTGGTTGGAGAACAATTGGAAAACCTGGGAGTACTGGACAGCTATTTCGGCCTAGTTTTGGGACTCTTCAGCAATATGCACCCACCAGGGTTCGAACCCAGGACCTTCTGGTTACAATGCGAGCTCGTATACCATTAGGCTACTGGGACCCGATCCAATGGCTCATGAGTTCTGACTTCTGCCAATTCACGACATAGCGCCGAAGAAATTGGCTAGCGGTTGTGCTATAACGTGAACTGGCAGAAGTCAGAATTCATGGGCCGTTGGATCGGGCCCCAGTAGCCTAATGGTATACAAGCTCGCCTTGCAACCAGAAGGTCCTGGGTTCGAGCCCTGTTGGTTGCGTACTGCTGAAGAGTCCCAAAACTAGTACGCAATAGCTGTCCAGTACTCCCAGGTTTTCCAGTTATTCTCTAACCAATGCCAGCTCATGAAAAAATGCTATACCCAAAAAAATTAATGTCACCAAACGTCTTGGGGGGGGGGCGTATCCTAAAGTTTGTGAAAGCCCTAGCTGGTAATTCAGAAGTTTAAAACACCGTTATGCCTTATTAAAAAACACTTCTCATTGCACTAAACCTTCCTTGGTAAGCGTTGTTTCGATACCATAGTAGATGTACTATTACCACTGTCATTTGGTTAAATAATCATTGTTATTTTGACCTTCAAACACGATGCAGATAAATTACGTCTTCTTATTGGTTTGTGTAAATTCATAAATGGAAGTAATTATTTATAATTAATAATTGCATTTATGTAAATTTATATATATATATATATATAAATATATATATATATATATATATATATGATTGTGAAGCATTTGATAATAAAACTGCCGGAAAAATGTCTCACCTGAATGTCATGTTCTTTCTGGCTTTCTAATTATATGATCTGCTTTTTGCTGATTTCAAACAAGTATCAGGTCAAAACGTCTATGGATTGATGAACTATATACCGAACTATTAGTACTAGTGAATAAAAGAAGAGAATATAGCTAATGCACACGTGAGCGTAGACTATATAAGGGCCAATGAAGTTCAGTTAGCAAAGCCTAAATGTTCATTTCTGACTGTCCTTCGTTTTTACAGACTCTCATTAATATATATGTATATATATCATTTAATATGATACCGTGTGATTCAGTATTAATAAATTGATGAACTTCTGAGCACAGTTTATTCCTGGAACTGTTTTCCGGATTATATTGTTCCTATATAACTTTCATTTAGTTGGTGCTGGTTATCAGTAGTGGAATCCTGTGCGTGTGTTTTGATCCTAATCTCAACAGACTGTGACTACAAATCATACATTAAGCGAAAGATTTTTAACTGTTCCTATTTCTGATTACAGTAGCAGTATGCCTGGCTGGTTCGCGTAAGTTGCTTTTCTCAAATGCTTTGAATAATAATAATGATTGTTTTATTTTCGAGAGTTGGTTTATAGAAATTAATATCGGCTATAAAAAGTATCGAAAACCAGGGAATCCAGGACAACAGTTTCGTCCTAGTTAAAGACTCATCAATGGAACTCACCCGCCGGGTTTCGAATCCAGGAGCTTCCAGTTACAAGGAAAGCTCGTAGACCATTCAACCATTGGCGCTTAACTCAATTACTCGTAAATTCTAACTTCTACTAATTCGTCACTTAAGCTTGACCATCTGTCAGTGTCATCGCTGGCGAGTATTTGTTATCACTCCGGACAAGATGGTCTCCAGTGGTCAAAACCTATCACTAGGACTCCACGAAACTCCGTCCTATGGCCAGTTACTAGCAAGCATCAGAAAAATAACAAGAAAACAGGTAGACGCGTACTTCCGATGAGTCCCACACTAGAACGAAACAGCTGCCCAGTACTCCTTGGATTGTTTCATTCCTGTCCTCTTATTATTAAGTTATTACTGGAGCAATGTTTAACTATCTTCACAGTGACGTAAGTGACTGAGTCTTAGCGAAGAAATTTTGACGAAGATGCAACACTTCAAATTGTTACTTTCCATATAGCAAACAGAGGAAGAGGAAAGAATTTTAAAAGATTTGTAATCAGCAGAATTGTACGCGGTGGCGCAGATGATCCAGAGCTCGATCCTCGGCTGAGGTACTTCTTTATTTCGTTAAACCAGTGACAAGAATGGTAAGGAGGAAACGTTGGACATGAGGCCAGCAACCGCATCCCTCAAAAGTAAACACCACTGCTACCGACACTTCTGAGCACTAGCTTGAAGCCCTATGTTTCACTGTGAACGTAAAGGAATAAGAAAATAGAAACATAATATCATGAGTATTTAGTTCCTGTGGCGTCCAGGTAGGGCATTTGGTTTCTGTGGCACATCTACATAACATCCTATTTTCTTTGGTCCTCTCTAGCTGTCACCCACTGACGTTCAAGCCGCTATTTCTCATTCAGCGTTTACTCTAGGACCTGCCTGGCGGTCTCCTTGTCATGTATCCGATCTATCTTCATTTATTTTGGAGTATTTAATAAGCAATAGGCTCTTGGTTACTTCATTATCAGAGTTCTATTTTACTAACCGTTACAAGATGGCTAACTTATCTGCATTATGAAAGAGGCGACAATGGCTGTTAAAAGTCTGAAGCTTTTGTGAGGTGGTTTTCGTGACGTCTTAATCTATGAACCGCATGCAAATTTAATTGATTTCCTTATGCTGATTGTTACAGATTTTCAAAATCACTATAGAGTATTGAAGGTCTCTCTTGCTTCAAGTTTACATGATATTAGATACAAATCATCAGTGGAGTCGAGATTTTCAAATGTTTTCTAGCTGATTTAGTGTGTGGCCATCTTCTCACCCTCCATTGTCTGGCGCATGATCCATTCCATAATAGTAATAATCGTTATAATCTGAAGCATGCATTATTGCATACTAAAAAATAATTGACATGTTTTGTTGCAAGGTGGCTTTTTTGTTCCTACAGAATCTTCTTCCCTAGTTTCCATAAAAAAAATGCGTAGTAGGGGCTTGAAACAGTTTTGAAAAAAATGAGTCAGAATTATAGAACAGGATATAACTTTGTAATTGAATAATTAAAGCCACACAAAATGTTGTTAATATAATGAATTTTAATGAGGAAAAATCAGGACAACCTGGCGGTTTAAGCAAGACGACATCGAGAAACGTATTCAGTTTTTTCTCCATATGACTCAATCGGTATTTTGAAGTCTCCTTACAAGATAGATGACAGTAATACTATTGAAGTCTAGTAATTTGACTCACTGTTAATAACTTTTCCTTTTCGGTGTACAGATCAGTTTGGCGATTTCTTACGTAAGTTGATGAAAAGTACTTTTTTCTAATCTCTCTTATTCATCCCATTTTGTATCTCAATAAAAAGAGCACAAGTGTCGTTGTTAGTAAATAAGCGAGCAAGCTATTAATGAATGAAAAGACAGGGTAGGAGCACTTTAGACGCTGCAGCCGTCCTACACAACAGTATTGTCTCATCATTAGATAAAGTTGCTAAATACGTCCGCTGCACGTTTCTCGACTTCACTTCTGCTTTCGACTCTGCACCTAGATGTCTGTAGCTAAATAAGCTCTCAATGACACAAACTTTGTCCTGGGTCACTAACTGGTTGCATTCCTACTTTTCAAACAGAATGCAGTATACCGTATACAAAGGAAAATCCTCCTCTGTGGTGCTCACTGAAGCTGGTGTTCCCTAAGGTGCTGTGCTCTCCCCACTTCTCTTTTCTTTCTTTCTACATGACCTACCATCTTCAAATGACATTAATTTTGTGAAATATGCTGACGACCTGACTGTATCTTTGCCTGTCAAATATCTAAGTAACTGCTCTAAACTAAAAGGTTTTTCATAAGAAATCAGCCAGTGGTCCAATGAAAACGGTCTTACCTTAAATCCCTTCAAATGCCAAACAGTTAATTTCAACTTTAGGCATAAATCTGACCTAAACAAACTGGTTAGCACTCACGAGATGTGCAACATAGATGCCACTGAAATAGAGAGCAAGCCGGAAATTAAATATCTTGGCGTTATTCTATCTGCTGATCTTTCCCGGTCGTCTCACATCTTGATGATTTCTAAGAAAATATTCCATCTTACCTTCTATATCAAGAAGTTAAGACATTCTGAAATAACTCAACCCTTACTCCTACAATTCGCTAACTCTTGCATCCTGCCTATTATTCTCTAGTGTTCCTTAGTGCCTTGGTTTCTTAGTTTCTCCAGGGCTACTGAAGAAAAACTATATCTTATTACACAGGATGTTAAATGTTGTCAGCAGGGCAAGCAATCTGCCACTTAAACAGCTTGTAAATATTCCGGTCCAAAGGCACTTGGACTCATGTGAAAAATGGGCTACATCTATCCTGTCTAACTCACACCACCCTCTTCATTCACAATTCTCCCCTTGTATCTCATCAGGCAAAACCAGAAGCCTGTATAGAAAGCTATGTGCTCTCTTTAGTAAGTAAAAAAACTCAACAATACCCTACTTAGCTCGTGTTCTGTGCGATAAAGAAAGCATTATTCATGATACCTATAACTTAATAAATAGTCAGAAGAACAACTGGATCTCGTCTTTCCTACTCATATCATTTATAGGTACAACGTTTTCTTTCTCTATTTTTCTTTTCTCTATCTGTTTTTCTGTTATGTGCAGCTTTGTTTCTTTCCTCCGCTTACGCCAGTAAACGTGCTAGCATATACTTTTCTAACACCTTCAAACACTTTGTTCAATTTTGGCTTTTCTACAGACATGCTAATATGTTGTTGTCAAAACTAACTAGGATAACCTTAATCTATGTAGAACTTTATTTATTGTCAATGTACTAACTGGATGCAATATACTGTAGTAAAATGCTAAGAATTACATTCTGTATCACATGTACTGTTTTGGAATAAAGCAAATTATTATTAAAAAGATTGGTTACAACAACTCCAGAAGTGCATCCCTGTAGTAGCAATACATGATATCGGATGGTTAGAGATGATCGGAAGGAAGACCCCCCGGACCTAGTTATCGTGCTTGTTGGTGCTCGTCGGCAGGGAAGGGGCAGGAAACCTGGATCCATAGCTTCCTGTCTCCTACTATCTAATAACAACAATTTAAATCCAACTAACATGGCGGCCACACTACAAACTTGACTGGTAGAATTTATTCTGCACTAAACGAATAACTAGACACAGGAAATTAGCCACTGCTTATTGTGCAGGCTAAATAACGCCCGATGAATGACGCATTTTGGAATACAATTTTCGTTTCATGATTGATATGACTATGAATTATTAGTTTTATTCTGAAAGTCTTCATTAAGTTGATAAAACTATTCCACTTCGAGATACAAATTAATATGACAACATACTACCACAAGTAATACACCTAATGATTTGTGCGTCGGTGGCACGGTGTTTAGGACTCTCGCCAACAATGCACATGGTCGGAGGTTCGATCCCATGCGAACGCACACATGATATCTATGGTCGGCTTGCGAAATTCGGGCTACCGATATCCATGCTGAAAATTCCATACTTGTACCAAAAATACGGTGTGGAATCAAGCTATAATCAAAAATTAAAAAAAAATAAAATAAAATAGAAGAGGTTCGTATTTCTGTTCAATATTCGATATTTAGATATTTCCTCAATATTATGTGGTAAGCAAATTATTTTCTTAGTCAATTATTTTTTTTTCATTTGAACACCTGTCTGTCTATTGGAATGGTGGGTTTCATAATTTAAGCTTTAAATTTTCCGTGTCGTGTATAGTTTTGTTTTTAAGGAGTGAGGTTGCTAGCATCACGCCCCAACCTTCCGTCATTACTGGACTTATTACCAGCTAGGCAGGGTTCAAGAGTGCATCCGGATCACTTACGGCATGCTTGGAGAGTATTGTATCATTGAATATGTTCTATAATTTGAATTTTTAGCTAGCAATGAATAATAAAGCTAAGACCGGGATAAAATCTCCTCAGGCGATTTTGTTCAGGTTGCATCCAAGCCATCGATATTTTTCACTAGTATATATTGTTGCAGTTTCAAATGTTGTGAACGAAACATCTCTCCAGTACTCCAAGGTTTTCATCAATTGCTGTATAAATGGTATCCATCCATTTGTGATCGAACCAGAGAAGATGTATTGTTCGTGTATGATCGAGAAATAGCATCAAACATTAGATATCTCCTGTATACAACAACCCGTAGACATTTGAAGAACATGTGAATTTTGTCAAAAAAGGTGGCTTTTGTGACTCAGTAGACTAGTTTATAACTGTTTGACGTCTAACTGTTGGTTTGCGGAAATTTAATTGGTTTCAGAATTTTTCATAGGCTGACAACAGTAAAGAAACACTGAAAAACTTGGAAGTACTGGACAGCTTTTTCGTCAGCCAAATTTGAGACTATTCATCAGTACGTGTCCATCAAAGGTGTTCGAAACCAGGAACTATCAGCTACAAGGCAAGCTCTTAGACCACTAAGCCACTAGGTGGGAGCCGATTCAATACCTAGTGCATTTATTCAAACTCCCGCAAATTCACCGTATAGCGTAGCTACTAACCAATGTCATCATTGGCCAATATTCGCCCAACATACATCCAACCTGATGTGCTCGATTGATCATGACTTCTCAATAACTGCCTACCTAAATATGGCGAGTCCCTAGTGAAATAGTGAGACTAATGTTTGACGCTAAAACTGATGTTTCAAATTTCATGACGAAATACCCCAGTCACCTGGAAGCAGGTATATTCACCTGATTAGTTCAAATGAGTTGAAACATCTCCTGGATTCCAAAGTCGTTCACTGACAACCAAGTAGTGTAAAATGACAGCTGACGTAAAATTAACCAAAATAAAGTTGCATAGATAAGTGAGGTTGACCGGATCACTAGATAAGAATGTTATTATTATTTTTATTATTGTTCCTTTGGGTTCCTGGTGGAACATAGGGCTTCAACTGCAGGTCTCCAATTGCATCTCTCTTCTGCTGTACTTTTCACCTGCATCCATGTTAGTTAGTCAATACGGTTCCAACTCCCCTTCACACGATCTCCTCTATGTCACCCTTGCACTGACGTCCCACTCGCCGCTTCTCTTTCGAGTTCCACTCGAGCAATGGCCTGACGCGCGCGATGTCACCAAGCGGTCTCCTTCAATCCATCTACACTTTCTCCTGCATATTTGTTGGTTGGCGATTGCTTCTTCTTTTGTTTCTTCCCATAGTTTCTTGTTGGTGATTCTTTCCGGCCCGGCCATCTGATTGCTCTTCAGTATAGAGCGAAGACTGTTAATGATGAAGGTATGCAACAGCCTGTTAGAAATATTCTTACTGACCCGCCAAGTTTCAGATCCGCACAGAAGAACTGACTGACTTGACGTTTTTATTGAAAGTCTGAATTTTGTTGTTGATGCTGAGTGACAAAGATTTCCAGATTGGTTTCAGGTTGGTGAGTGTGTTTCTCGCTCGCTTTCCCGATTCTCGCTCAATTTGACATCCTCCTCTGTTCCTCTTGTAGTTGAGACAATGCTCGCTAGATGATAAGTGAATGCAGTAACCTCTTTCAAATCCCTCCCATTGATGGTGATTGGCGCTGGTGTTGTTGCTGCTGTTGTTATTGATTGGTTATTTTCATAATCTCCGTCTTGTCTATGTTCGTTTCGAGTGCTGTCTTCGCCGGCTTCTTCTTCGGCCAGTTTGTGGATTTTCGCTTGTAAGTCTTCGATTGTGTGTGACATCAAACATAAGTCATCCGCGAAATCCAGGTCTTCTAGGTTCTTCACGTCGAAGATACAAATGACTGCATATTTTTATGCACATTACTATACATATTTTAGATAGTTACAATCGGTTTAACGACTTCTTTGCCAATAGAGTATGTATCCCCTTACACTACCTGTTATAAACGGATCAAAAAATGCATTCAAAAGCATGTTCACTCGTGAAATCACAATTATTGTTCTTTTTAAATACCGGTGTGATTCTAATCAAAGGAAAAAAATTAGTTTTCGTAGCAGCCTGCTTGAAACTTCGACTACCGAAAGCTTCCATCTCTCTATTGCATATATTTTCTGTCGTTCGGTTTATTATAATCGATGAAGATATGACCTCTTATAAAATTATCTACTTTTGTATGTATTTAAAATTTCTACGATCCCCTGATTCACAAGTACCGACTAAACTTAAGGGATGACATGATTGTAGGCTGGAGACGTATCCCAATACATGAGAGATAACTGTTTTTCAGTTATGTCCTTGAGTCCCAAAATGTACTTCTAAACATCTCTTACAACTGGCTTTCAACCAGATATCGTGGGTGGATTTCTTCAAGGAGACAAGGCAGATAGGTTATATTATGGAATGATTTGTGTTTTAGCTCAGAGACCACTGTCTCAGTGTCAAATAATATTTTAATTGAAGATATTGTACGAAGGGAAAATATAACAAGCAATAAACTCCTCTGTGAATCCTGTACATTTATAAATACTGTGCAGGATAAAGATAGCCGCATCATCCCGGAGAGAATCAAACAAGCCAACCTGGATGAAAAACTTCGACCGGAACAGACTGGATTCAGGAGAAACAAGTCATGTATTGATCAAATCACTGGCAGTCACCTCTCTATCTCAACTTCATCGACTTTGAAAAGGCCTTCGACAGCGTCGATCGAGAGGTGATTTGGCAATTAATTCACTACTACGGGGTGCCATCGACAATTATACATCTCATCCAACAGTTATACGACAATGCTGCATACCAAGTAATCCACAACGGTAAACTTACGGAAGCCATCGAAGTGAGAACAGAAGTAAGACAAGGCTGGCTGCCTACAGTCGCCTGTGATTTTCCTGACTGCAGTAGATTGGATAATGCGACAGACAGACAGCGGGCAATGAGGAAACAGGTATAAAATGGACTCACACAAAAAGAGACTTGGGGGATCTGGAGTTCTCAGATGATATTTTCTGATTTCACACAAATTGGAAGATATGCAAGTGAGAAGCAACAAGTTGGTAGAAGAAGCATCAAAGATAGGACTTCAGGTGAACCTAGATAAAACAGCGAAAGTTGACGAAGATTCCTGGCCAACAGCAACAGCAGCAACAACATTGACAGGTGACAATCAGCATGAATAAGAGGAACCTGAAAGAAACAACCGCCTTCACCTACCTGGGAGCATCGCTCCAACTTCAGGCGGACAGAACTGATGAGGATATCGAAGTGAGGGTCGGGAAAGCAAGACAAGCTTTCATTACTCCTAAGTCTGTGTGACGGTCAACAGCAATCAGCATCAATGATAAGATCCGAATTTTCAACTCCAATGTGAAGTCAGTCAATGCTATTATACGGATCAGAGACTTGGCCAGCATGTCATAAAGAGCATCTCAAACAAACTACAGATTTTCATCAACAGCTACCTGTCTTCGATCAATACTTCGTTCAAGATCAGATGGCCAGCCAGAAAAGATCAGCAACAGGGATTTCTGGCAATGAGCAAACCGACTAAGAACCTATTGTGAAACAAACGGGCAGGAAGAAATGTAGATGGATTGGCCATACTTTGAGGAAACCATCAAGTGACATCACTAGGCAAGCCATTGTTCGAGTGGAACTCGGAAGGGAAGCGGCGATTTGGTCGTCAGTGCAAGGGTGACTTAGATGAGGTCATCTGAAGACAAGATGGAAGTGTGTGTGCAGACTTGCAGGGGGGGGGTGAAAAAGTTGGCAGAAAACCGGACGCAATGGAGATGCGTGGATGAAGCCCTATGTTCCTCTAGGAATTAAAGGATATAATAATAATAGAATAGAGATGTTAATATTCGTTTTTGAAAAATGTTATCTTAACAATAGGGTTTTCTATCTTTGGTTAATAAATTTTTTGGTACCTACAGTCCACCAGTATTTTGTAATTAATTCTTCTTTTCACCTCAATGCAGTTTATCAAGCAAAATGTGGTAAGATCATTTGAATACTGTTCAGTCTTTTCATGGGGTAAAAATTAATTATTCTCAAATATCTCTGACGGTGATGTATATTTTATATTTACAGTCTCCTCCTCTAAGTGACTATTATTTTTGAAGAGTCGGGCACATTATACATATTCAAACCAAGTTTACTTTTAACGGTTTGAAACAATTTAGGCACTGCGTATATGATGTTCATTATAATAAAGGTTTCTGTTTTTCCCAATGGATGAAAAACAAAACGATATTGCTGGATTTACTGACGTTTCACTATTTAATGCTACCTGTACCATAATTAAAGCACAATTAGACCAGAATTTGTAAATTCCTAGCTCAAGTATAACAAATTTAATTATAGTTCATCAGCATATGATCATTTTTACATTGTTAAGTTGGTCGTTATTTTTTTATTATTATTATTTCTCCCTTGGGTTCCTAGTGGAACATAGGGCTTCAACTGCAGGTCTCCAATTGCATCTCTCTTCTGCTGTACTTTTCACCTGCATCCATGTTAGTTAGTCAATACGGTTCCAACTCCCCTTCACACGATCTCCTCTATGTCACCCTTGCACTGACGTCCCACTCGCCGCTTCTCTTTCGAGTTCCACTCGAGCAATGGCCTGACGCGCGCGATGTCACCAAGCGGTCTCCTTCAATCCATCTACACTTTCTCCTGCATATTTGTTGGTTGGCGATTGCTTCTTCTTTTGTTTCTTCCCATAGTTTCTTGTTGGTGATTCTTTCCGGCCCGGCCATCTGATTGCTCTTCAGTATAGAGCGAAGACTGTTAATGATGAAGGTATGCAACAGCCTGTTAGAAATATTCTTACTGACCCGCCAAGTTTCAGATCCGCACAGAAGAACTGACTGACTTGACGTTTTTATTGAAAGTCTGAATTTTGTTGTTGATGCTGAGTGACAAAGATTTCCAGATTGGTTTCAGGTTGGTGAGTGTGTTTCTCGCTCGCTTTCCCGATTCTCGCTCAATTTGACATCCTCCTCTGTTCCTCTTGTAGTTGAGACAATGCTCGCTAGATGATAAGTGAATGCAGTAACCTCTTTCAAATCCCTCCCATTGATGGTGATTGGCGCTGGTGTTGTTGCTGCTGTTGTTATTGATTGGTTATTTTCATAATCTCCGTCTTGTCTATGTTCGTTTCGAGTGCTGTCTTCGCCGGCTTCTTCTTCGGCCAGTTTGTGGATTTTCGCTTGTAAGTCTTCGATTGTGTGTGACATCAAACATAAGTCATCCGCGAAATCCAGGTCTTCTAGGTTCTTCACGTCGAAGATACAAATGACTGCATATTTTTATGCACATTACTATACATATTTTAGATAGTTACAATCGGTTTAACGACTTCTTTGCCAATAGAGTATGTATCCCCTTACACTACCTGTTATAAACGGATCAAAAAATGCATTCAAAAGCATGTTCACTCGTGAAATCACAATTATTGTTCTTTTTAAATACCGGTGTGATTCTAATCAAAGGAAAAAAATTAGTTTTCGTAGCAGCCTGCTTGAAACTTCGACTACCGAAAGCTTCCATCTCTCTATTGCATATATTTTCTGTCGTTCGGTTTATTATAATCGATGAAGATATGACCTCTTATAAAATTATCTACTTTTGTATGTATTTAAAATTTCTACGATCCCCTGATTCACAAGTACCGACTAAACTTAAGGGATGACATGATTGTAGGCTGGAGACGTATCCCAATACATGAGAGATAACTGTTTTTCAGTTATGTCCTTGAGTCCCAAAATGTACTTCTAAACATCTCTTACAACTGGCTTTCAACCAGATATCGTGGGTGGATTTCTTCAAGGAGACAAGGCAGATAGGTTATATTATGGAATGATTTGTGTTTTAGCTCAGAGACCACTGTCTCAGTGTCAAATAATATTTTAATTGAAGATATTGTACGAAGGGAAAATATAACAAGCAATAAACTCCTCTGTGAATCCTGTACATTTATAAATACTGTGCAGGATAAAGATAGCCGCATCATCCCGGAGAGAATCAAACAAGCCAACCTGGATGAAAAACTTCGACCGGAACAGACTGGATTCAGGAGAAACAAGTCATGTATTGATCAAATCACTGGCAGTCACCTCTCTATCTCAACTTCATCGACTTTGAAAAGGCCTTCGACAGCGTCGATTGAGAGGTGATTTGGCAACTAATTCGCTACTACGGGGTGCCATCGACAATTATACGTCTCATGCAACAGTTATACGACAATGCTGCATGCCGAGTAATCCACAACGAAAAACATACGGAAGCCATCGAAGTGAGAACAGAAGTAAGACAAGGCTGGCTGCCTACAGTCGCCAATGATTTTCCTGATTGCAGTAGACTGGATAATGCGACAGACAGACAGCGGGCAATGAGGAAACAGGCATAAAATGGACTCACACAAAAAGAGACTTGGGGGATCTGGAGTTCTCGGATGATATTTTCTGATTTCCCACAAATTGGAAGATCTGCAAGTGAGAAGCAACAAGTTGGTAGAAGAAGCATCAAAGATAGGACTTCAGGTGAACATAGATAAAACAGCGAAAGTTGACGAAGATTCCTGGCCAACAGCAACAGCAGCAACAACATTGACAGGTGACAATCAGCATGAATAAGAGGAACCTGAAAGAAACAACCGCCTTCACCTACCTGGGAGCATCGCTCCAACTTCAGGCGGACAGAACTGATGAGGATATCGAAGTGAGGGTCGGGAAAGCAAGACAAGCTTTCATTACTCCTAAGTCTGTGTGATGGTCAACAGCAATCAGCATCAATGATAAGATCCGAATTTTCAACTCCAATGTGAAGTCAGTCAATGCTATTATACGGATCAGAGACTTGGCCAGCATGTCATAAAGAGCATCTCAAACAAACTACAGATTTTCATCAACAGCTACCTGTCTTCGATCAATACTTCGTTTAAGATCAGATGGCCAGCCGGAAAAGATCAGCAACAGGGATTTCTGGCAATGAGCAAACCGACCAAGAACCTATTGTGAAACAAATGGGCAGGAAGAAATGGAGATGGATTGGCCATACTTTGAGGAAACCATCAAGTGACATCACTAGACAAGCCATTGTTCGAGTGGAACCCGGAAGGGAAGCGGCGATTTGGTCGTCAGTGCAAGGGTGACTTGGATGAGGTCATCTGAAGACAAGATGGAAGTGTGTGTGCAGACTTGCAGGGGGGGGGTGAAAAAGTTGGCAGAAAACCGGACGCAATGGAGATGCGTGGATGAAGCCCTATGTTCCTCTAGGAATTAAAGGATATAATAATAATAGAATAGAGATGTTATTACTCGTTTTTGAAAAATGTTATCTTAACAATAGGGTCTTTTATCTTTGGTTAATATATTTTTTGGTATCCACAGTCCACCAGTATTTTGTAATTAATTCTTCTTTTCACCTCAATGCAGTATATCAAGCAAAATGTGGTAAGATCATTTGAATACTGTTCAGTCTTCTCATGGGGTAAAAATTAATTATTCTCAAATATCTCTGACGGTGATGTATATTTTATATTTACAGTCTCCTCCTCTAAGTGACTATTATTTTTGAAGAGTCGGGCACCTTATACATATTCAAACCAAGTTTACTTTTAACGGTTTGAAACAATTTAGGCACTGCGTATATGATGTTCATTATAATAAAGGTTTCTGTTTTTCCCAATGGATGAAATACAAAACGATATTGCTGGATTTACTGACGTTTCACTATTTAATGCTACCTGTACCATTATTAAAGCACAATTAGACCAGAATTTGTAAATTCCTAGCTTAAATATAACAAATTTAATCATAGTTCATCAGCATGGGATCATTTTTACATTGTTAAGTTGGTCATTATTTTTTTATTATTATTATTTCTCCCTTGGGTCCCTAGTGGAACATAGGGCTTCAACTGCACGTCTCCATTTTCTTCTGTCTTCTGCTATACTTTTCGCCTGCATCCATGTTAATCCATATTCTTTCAACTCCTCTTCACACGATCTCCTCCATGTCACCCTTGGACGTCCCACACGCCGCTTCCCTTTCGGGTTCCACTCGAGGGCTTGGCGCGCGATGTCACCCAGCGGTCTCCTCAGCGAGTGTCCGATCCATCTCCACTTTCTCCTGCATATTTGTTGGGCGATTGGTTCTTGCTTTGTTTGTTCCCATAATTCCTTGTTGGTGATTCTTTCCGGCCATCTGATCTTCAGTATTGAGCGAAGACAGTTGTTAATAAAGGTCTGCAGCCTTTTGGAAATATTCTTTGTGACCCCCGCCAAGTTTCTGATCCGTATAGAAGAACTGACTTTACGTTTGTATTGAAAATCCGAATTTTGTTGGTGATGCTGAGTGACGAAGATTTCCAGATTGATTTCAGGCTGATGAATGTGTTTCTCGCCTTCCCGATTCTCGATTTGACATCCTCGTCCGCTCCTCCTGTAGTTGAGACAATGCTCCCTAGATAAGTGAATGAAGTAACCTCTTTCAAATCCCTCCCGTTGATGGTGATTGACGTTGGATGTTGCTGCTGTTGTTGGTTGGTTATTTTCATAACCTCCGTCTTGTCTATGTTTACCTGGAGTCCTGTCTTCGCCGGCTGCTTCTTCGACCAGTTTGTCGGTTTTCGCTTGTAAGTCTTCGATTGTGTGTGACATCAAACATAAGTCATCCGCGAAATCCAGGTCTTCTAGGTTCTTCACGTCGGTCCAGGATATTCCTGTCTTCTCGTTTCCCACTGTCTGACGCATAATCCAGTCCACCACAATTAGGAATATCATTGGTGATAGTAAGCACCCTTGTCTGACTCCTGTGTTTACTCCAAACGCCTCGCTGAGTTTTCCGTTGTGGATCACTTGGCAGGTGCCGTTGTCGTACAGCTGTTGAATAAGGTTGATGAATATTTGGGGTACGCCATAGTACTCGAGTAATTTCCAAATTACTTCACGATCAACGCTGTCGAAGGCCTTCTCAAAGTCTATAAAGTTGAGGTAGAGGTTTGATTGCCATTCCATGCTTTGTTCTGTGATGATGATGCGTAGAGTTGCAATTTGGTCAGTACATGATTTGCCTTTCCTGAATCCAGCTTGTTCTGGTCGGAGTTCTGTCTCCAGTGCGTCCTTTAATCTCTCCAGGATGATGCGACTCAGGATTTTACTTGGCGTCGATAGGAGCATGATTCCTCGCCAGTTCTTGCAGAGTCCTAAGTCGCCCTTCTTTGGTAGTTTCACGAGGTAACCTTTCCTCCAGTCAGTAGGCACCTTTCCCTCCTTCCAGACCTTTTGCAATAATGGAGTCAGCATGTCTGCTGTCGTCTCTGGGTCTGCTTTCAGTGCTTCAGGGGGTATTCCATCTGGTCCGGCTGCTTTTCCAGCTTTCAGAAGCTTGATTGCGTTCAAGACTTCAGCTCTCGTTGGAGGATTGGTGTCATTGCAGTTGTGTGCGCGCTGTTGTTGGTATTTCTGGACGGGTTGCAGGTGATGGTCGGTTCAAGAGTCCTTTGAAGTGATCCGCCCATTGTTTAATCTGTTTTTCTTCCTTGGTAATTGGGTTCCCTTGGCTGTCTTTTATAGGTTTCGCTTGTGTTGGTCTCTTCCCGGATAGAGATTTGGTTATCTGATATAGTGTCCTCAGGTCCCTTTTGCCTGCTGCCTTTTCAGCTTCAGTAGCTAGATTGTCGTAGAATCGTCTTTTGTCCTTCCTAGCACTTTTCTTCACTTCTTTGTCCAATGCTTTGTAAGTTGAGCTCATCGTCTCCTTCTCCTGTCCGTCCTTGCATTGAATCATTTTCTCTTTCACCATTCTCCTCTCTTCTATTAATTTCCAAGTGTCCGTTGAGAGCCATTCCTTGTCTTGTCTCTTCTTTCTTCCTAGAACCGTTGAACACGTTTCGTTGAGAATCGCCTTCAGAGACTTCCAATGTTCTTCCACGCATGATTCTTCAGTGCTGTCGCGTAGTGTTTCCTGCTTTGCTCTGACAGTTGCAGTGAAAGTGTCTTTTGTGGTTGTGTCCTTCAGTAATTGAGTGTTGAACTTGCATTGTGGCCTATCCCCAGCTATCCTCGAGGCTTTTAGTTTCACCTTGAAAGTCCCTTCTACTAGATAGTGGTCTGAACCCACATCTGCTCCTCTCCTTGACCTTGTGTCCAGTAGGCTCCGTCTCCACTTTCTTGAAATTGAGATGAAGTCTATTTGGTTCTTGGTGTTTCCATCTGGTGAAATCCATGTCGTCTTGTGTATATCCTTGTGTTTGAACACACTACCACCAATCACCAAATCATTGAAGGCGCAGAAGTCTGAGAAGAGTTCACCATTGTCGTTCATTTCGCCGAGGGCCTCACGACCCATGGTGAGTTCTCTTCCTGTGTTGTCTCCTCCCAGCTTCGCATTCATGTCGCCCATCAGGATTTTGATATCGCCATTTGGGACGTTGTCCATTATTGCTTGTAGTTGTCTGTAGAACGCCTCCTTCTTCTCTTGTTCTGAGACGTTTGTAGGCGCATAGCATTGAATGACTGTAACTTTCCTTCCTTTTGAGTTGAACCTGGCTGTCATTATCCTGGAGGAGATTGGTTCCCACTGCATGAGAGCTTTGGTTGCTGTTGGTGACATCATGATGGCCACTCCCTCGGTGTGCTCATGGTTGTCCTCTAGGTGGCCGGAATAGATTACTGTCTCTCCAGTAGGTAGTTGGCACCTTCCAGTTCCGTTCCATCTGCTCTCGCAGATTCCCAACACTTCTATTCTGTACCTTCTCATTTCAGCGGCTATCTGGGCAGCCTTTCCAGTTTCGTACATTGTGCGAACATTCCAGGTACCCATCCTTACTTTTGCTTTCATCGAAAGAAGGCACATCGGCTGACTGGCTTCCCGAAGGCTTTCACCAGCCTGCGTCATTTCACTTCCCCGATTCCAGCGAAAAGTAAGGCTATTGCTTATGTTTTTAGAATTTTTAATATATTTATTCGTTGAAGTTTCTGTAGCGATTTGGTTGTTTTACAGGGGTGGAGTTGCTAGCACCACGCCCCAACCCTCCCTCTTTACCCGGGCTTGGGACCGGCGAGAAAACTAGTAAGCTAGTAGCCTAGCAAGCTAGTGTCTGGCGAGGTTGGTCATTAGGTAAAGATAACAAAACCAGGTGTAGATTACAGGACTTGACAAGTGTATAAGATTTTAAAAGCAGCGAGTGTTTACATAGTAAACTTGCTTATTACATTCGTGTTGATGTTATCACTTCATGGAATAGGTGGTGGGCAGTTGATGTAACCAGGTTCTGTTTAAGTTCATCATTCTTATTCAGACATTTGATATGAAGTGCTTCTGATATTAGACGGCATTTTTAATTTCTGAAATTTTTCTGGTCTATTTCAATATTGTCAAAGTCAATTTTTTGACCTGATTCTACAGCTTGTATACGACCTATGGATGATGAATTTTCAAGCATTCAAATTCCAACTGGATTTCTTTGTGGTGGATCACATGGTCTACGGCGTTCGTTTCTTCTGATTTCGATTTCTCGCAATATCTGTCCAATATATCTATTATCACACGCCAAGCATTTTATTTTGTAGACACACTTAGTTAGAGAATCTTTAGGGATTTCGTCTTTTATAAAGAATAAGGTTGCTTCGCGGTGTGTCTGATATTTTGAAGAAAACTCTGATGTCCAGCTTACTGAGTACTCTTCTGATATTATCCGACGTCTTTGCTCTGTATGGAGTGACAACTGTTGAAGTTCATAGAAAAGCTTGAAAAATCATTAACCATAGAATCAGGCCATAAAATTCAATTTGACAATAATGAACTGTATGTGACTTCAATGTATGTTAACATTTTTCGAATATATATTTTGATGATTATTGATATCTGAATAATTCTGTTGAAGAAGCTGTGGCAGCTTGCACAGCGAAACGTTCAGAAAAGAATCTTGTTTTGATTTTTTCTTAAACACCTTGAGATTAATTTAAATAATTTATGATGCATTAGATATTTTATCTGGACACAATGACTAATTTTGTTTTCATGTCATTGTGTAACATTTTATTTTCTAGGGATTTCATCGATGATAAAATTCAGGCAGGATTTCTGAGTGGATAATAGAGGAAATCTTGCCAAGCCAGCTTGTGGACTGAGGAGTACTGAAATCTTGACATTGTGTTAATTATGTATGCACCCTGTTCTCATTTATCATTATACTCACTGTCATTTCAGTTAAACGACTTTATTTTGACACTCCTAAGGTTGAGTGCTTTATATGCTTTATGCTTTATAGAATTCCGAGCACGTTCTAACCGAAGTACACTCAAATAGCATTGTTATTGTTCATCCTCCGTCTTTATAAAAATATATATATAGCATATATAGCACGGGCAGTAATTTTGCTCGAAATATTACCAATAACAAAACTTATCATTGTGTGTAAACTATTCAAATATAATTATACTTTATTTAATCTAATCCACAATGCTCAAACTTTTTACTGATATTAATATATATAGCAGTTATTTGAAATCTATATTCGGCAAGCGTTAGCTGATTTGTTTTGAGTTTAATCATTAGCTGGAAAACCAGTAGTTTCAAATCCTTCAGAGGCACACATCCGTGGGTGTTTGGGCACAAGACGCCCTCGAAATAAATAAATTAATTAATAGCTGAAGCCGTCATGCAAATATTAGAATTATTAGCTCCACCTAAAATTAAACCAAAAATTTGGGTATGTCACGTTGATGATACATTTGTATTAATTAAGAGAAATGATTTAGAATATACCCCACTAAACAACATATTTGAAGACATCAAATTCATCACGAGAGAAGAAGAATTAAATAACAAAATCCCATTTTTAGATGTCTTAATCAGAAAAATTAACACAGGAAATTTAGCAACACAAGTACATAAAAAATCAACGCACACACACGCAGATCAAATACTCAACTGTGCTAGCAATAATCCAATTACTCACAAAAGAAACTATGTACAGACATTGTTTAGAAGAGTTCAAACACACTGTGGCACTTCAGAGTTGAAAAGAAAGGAAGAAAAATACCTACAGTCGGTCTTCAAAAAGAATGGTTATCCATAAAATTTCATCAAAAAGTGTTTAAAGTCGAATCAAAACACTAACAAGTAACTATCATCAAAGAACAGAAGAAAATTCATCCTACCATTCATGAGAAATATCTCTGAAATAGCAGCTAGAATACTGAAACCGTTTGATATAGATATAGCCCACAAAGCAGTCAAGTCGATTAATTCAATATTATGCAAACCGAAAGATCCAACAGAAAAAGGGGATAAAATTAATACCATTTACAAAATAAATTGTATGAACTATAACAAGCACTACATTGGCCAAAGTGGGCGGCCCCTTCGAATTAGAATCCAAGAACACAAATCAGCCTTGGAAAAGACACGATATATTTTCTTTCATATCAATGCATATAGACAATTATGGACATCAGTTTGATTGGGATAATGTGGAAATCATAGAGAGAGGAAACAACATAAGTGCAGTCAGGGAATTCCTAGAAGCCTGGTACTCAAACGAAAATGCATTTAACAAACACGTTAATATATACGAAATATACCAACTAGTAAAAAAGTAAATCAGGTGACCAGAAAGTGCAAAATCCAAATCAATAGAAAATGGTCGATACATATGTATATATGGTTACCGGGCGAAGTAATTATGTCACTCATGAAGAAACTTAAATCATTTAACTTTGTGCTAAATATTTCGCTGAAGATATTGTCCAGAAGGACAACGAAACCTCCGCAACTAAACCAACCAGCTCAGAGAACACTATTAATCACAAATCAAATCTCTGTACACCACCTCTTGGAAATTGATCTGAACACAGAATGAAGTTGCCTGGAGTTCGTATTGAGAAGTCATGGCCAGCTTGCTCCATCAGGTAGAATGTGAGAACAAATGTTCATCATCATTGATGTTGTCTGATGGTCGTAGTAAAATCGCAATTTGGTAAAGGTTGGAATTTACCGACTACTGGGTGAGTTACCATAGTTTGAATGGCCTGCAGGCTTTTCTTGTGACTGAGAGGTCCTGAGCTCGAACTCTGCTGCTGCTGAAAAGTTTCAAACTAGGATGAATTAGCTACCCAGTGCTCTCGAACTCTTCAAAAGTGAAGCCTATTTATAATAAATATAGGGAATGAGTACAGACTGCTCAAGAGACGTAATTCGACGGTTTAAACACCACGAAATTAGGTAAATGTCATGTATTTTCATTATGGGGGGGGAGGTACATTAGAGTAATTCAGGGATTCAAGCATCCTGCCAGTTATGCTTTGAAAAAGTAGGATCCATGATACAGGTCAGTCTGAGTACTATTAGGTATAGAATAAAGTTATGCATGTTTGAATTGCTTAGTCCAGTTTGAAGGCTCTTTGTTCGTTTTAATATAAATACACGATGATCAGGTTAAAGACCATCAGATGGGGATACACACTTTGATGTAGATTGTCGCAATCATTTTAGAATGATTCTTGGTAAAGTATTGTGAACATTGAACGTTGGTTAATTGACCTTGGTAGCCAAAGGGGGGTAACTCGAAGGCGCGAATGATTCAGTCGTGCACAAGTTGAAAGAAAACTAAAGAATACGAATAAAAGTACTGGTGCATTCCTTATAAAATATTTATTTATAGACTTCTGTATCATTTTCGATTTTAATTACTGGGAAGTATAAGTTACTACAAATGTTGGTGTTTTGGAGTTATGGTCGATAATTGATCGTAGTAGTTATCGATTTGGAGCGTCTTCACCAATAATAGAAACTTGGTGTTAAGTTCATTGACATCCTTATTCAAGAAACGTTTTCCTGTAAAAATTCATCACTTCAGCGTTTTACTTATCACCTGGTTGTATTGCTAGTGACAGTGGCACTATTATGACCATGTGTTGCCCATCCAATATCTAGTTAAATGCCTCAAAGTTCTCAGTTCCAAATAAAATGAACATATGTAGCATAAAGTATAAGTCTCAATAGGCCATCGTCCTCCTAGTTTATTAGCTTACAGGTAGTTTGTGAAAGACGGGAGGCGCTGTGTAAAACTAGTAGCTCAATCCAGTTAATATAACACGGTAACAGTTGAAATTTCAGGACTTCGAGTCTTGAGCCTTATGTTTCAGTTGAGATGCAAGTAATTTAATTTTATTTTTGATTTTCCCGTCGATTGAGTGGACCGAAGTGCTCGGTCTCAGAATGACATGTCGGCCTCTTGTGCAGATGCTTCGACAATGTCTGGGCATTTGATTAGTATATAATTGGCGGATGTCCTAGGACGAAATTCGCATCCTGGATTCCACTGCTACTCACCATCCACCAAGTAAACACTAACTAAATGGCCAGACATCGTCGAAGCATCTGCACAAGAATCCGACATGTCAACCTTAGACCGAGCACTTCGGTCCAATCAATCGACGGGAAAATCAAAAATTCAATTCAATAATTAATATGACCCGTTGTACAAGAGGTGGCTCTCGTGGCCCAAGTTGTCTACTGGATAATACTTTGGCGTTTGAAACTATGGGCACTGGGTTCGAGCCTCAGTGGGAACATCATCACTCACTGAGAAATGCAGGTACATCCAGATGACGAGTCCCAAATAGGACGAAATGCGCTTTATCCTGGATTCCACTGATAGTCATCATCCCCCAGTTATATACTAATCGAGATGCAAGTAAAATAAGAAATATGGAAAATCAAATCTATATCCGCTCAGTGAAAATGTTTGCTTTGAGATAACAGGAATTTTGGTGTCACCTAAAATGAAGGTTGAACAGGAAAGAATTGATTTAATGGCATAGATATACTTCATGGACAACAGATGTTACACACATAATGGCCTCTGTCATCAATTAACATTGTATATATATAAATCACTTAAATAACAGTGGAACTATGAAGTAAAGCTATAAAAAGTTGTATGTTTGTTGCCTCATAAGCTCTTAATTGCGTAACCCTTCATCGTACACTATAAAAGTGTCATTCGTGTGATGACAGTACACTTGTATTTATGCCATTTCGTTTTTCAACGGACTATTTTCTAGTTTTGTTAGAAATATGTTTACGAAAATAGGTCCTAGTGAGGATCCCATAGGCACTCCATCAACCTGTCTATGCAGCTCATTTGTTGTACATTTAACAAGTAGTTGTTTCAGATTACTAATTGGAATATCAGTAGACAAATCGGCTTTCACAGCGGAGAGGAAAGTCAAAAATTGATAAAACACATCGAAGCGATGTACCCTAAATAAAAGGTCTTCAAAAGAACCCTTATTTCAGTCATAAGGAAGACAACTTCATCGTAAACATTACTCATAATTAGGCCTAGAAAAGATAGTTTTGGTTGAACTAAGGATATGGATAATGCCTAGAATACTGATGCAAGGATCAACAAGGGAATTAAAACTGCCATTTATGAATGACGGAGCGTCTCAAAACCCTCTAGATCCTGAATAGATTGAATACAACACAACAATCGTACACTCTAATCAGTTCAGTAGATATTTGACTAATGTCACCCTCGTCCCAAGACAACAACAAACCAGGAATTCAAGTGTTGGTTTGTCGGGATTTGATTGATTACAGCATTGCATCATGAGCTGATATTGGTCGTGATTAGTAGGGTGCTGCAGGTCGGATTTGAGGTCAAATACTCGCCGAATACATTGGCTAGTGGTCGCGCTATGTCATGAATTGGCAGAAATTAGAATTTATGGGCCATTGGATTGGGTCCCAGTGGCCTAGTGGTCTACAAGCTCGCTGGCCTTGTAACTAGAAGGTCCTGGGTTCGATTCCGGTGGGTGCGTATTGCTGAAGAGTTCCAAACTAGGAAGCAACAGCTCTCCAGTACTCCTAGGTTTTTCAATGGTTCTCTTACAATGCCAGCTGATGATGAAATCCTGTAAACTGGGAATTAACCAAAATGCACTTGCTTAAAGAAAGAATTTCTCAGTGGGTATATTACGCTTCCCAATGTTACTTCGTGAATTCGTAAAGTAGGCTAGTACAAACACTAATTTTTTCATCAGCTAATCCATTCATTCTGAGGATTTCAGAAATGTTCATCGTAT